GGTTGTTAACCAATGTCATAAAACAATATGTGTACTACTGTTTCATGAGAAACTACTGGTTCTGTAAACCTTCACCTGAAGTACAATAAAAAAATAAATTAATTAAAAGAAAAAAAATTAAAAAGGATACTTAGCTATCACTCCAAAAACTCTGGCAACCACTCTTTAAAAAAAATTGGGGGGACCTCTTTTCTGATTCACATGTAGCATCTACTGGTATAAAATTCATATGTGATATGAAGATATTAACAATGGTTATTTTGGTTTTTCTAATTTTTCTACAATGAACATGTATTACTTTTTAATCATAAAAATACAGTTAAGTGTAATTTAAAAAATAATCCTAATAGCATATTCAGATTAAACAAGGCTCAAATATCACCAACAGACAACAATACCTAACTTGTTTAAATATTTGAGGTACAGAGTTTTAACCCACTGTCCAACCACCCTCTCCTACCCACCAAATTTTTAAAATACTTTATATACTTTCATTCCACTCCCTACCTTCACTTACACATAAATTGTCTGACACACTCCACTCTGACCTGTCTGCCTACAAACCCCCACCTGCGTACTCATTTTCTCATTCCTAGTCATATACCCAGATCTTCTTCACCGAATCATATCCTGCCTTGAGGTTGGCCACTTTCTAGATACACAGGCAGTATACACAAGAGAGGTAAAACAAACAAGCCACACATGTACCCTGTCAGTAGGTTTGAGTTACTTTAAGAGTTCTGGCTCTATTCCTATTTGGGTAGTGTAGTTGTAGCTGGGGAAACTTTCTGGTTTGGAGGAGATTCTATGGGAAAGTAGACTAAAATTTATTGTGGTTTTAAGTAATCCAGTTTACTCCCCTGAAATAGTCCTTCTCTTCTTCTCTCCCTTATCTCAAACCAATGCTGACTTCCACTTAGAAAAGTCAAAGACGACAATCCTCTACATACACATCTGAGGATGAGAGTTCTCTGCTTCAGAGATGGACTATAGAGAATATTACAGAAACAAAAGATGCACACAGATACTAAATTATCAGAACTCAAATTCCATAAGGAGTCTATTCATTACTACTAAATTTATAGCTATATCCATAAGAAATTCTGATTCTAGAATATGATATACAAGAATTCAAACACAAAGTGAGCAAATTAATAACTCATGGTATCTCTTCTCATTCTTTCCAGCTCTGTAATTCTATCAAGCAAAAGTTAGGCATATATTATCCCTAATCCAATGTCACATACAGCCCTAGCCTAAACATAAATATTAAAATAAAGAAATTAAAAGTATCAGCCAATGACTTTAATATCTAACTGTTTCAGCATATCCCACAACTAAAGTAGCTTTAAGGAAGTCCAACCCATGTAAGATCTAAGTTTGCAAAATATCCAGATGTGACCATGCCCAAAGTTTTAAACATTCATAAAAAAAGAGTAAAATGACCCCTCGCCTCATACAAAGCAGAAATCATTTTTAAGTCAAATTAGTCCTAGAGAAGTTCTGGAAATAAAAAGATTTAATTTATTTTTGTTTAATGGTATTACTTTTTAGTTCAATTTCTGATTGTTTAATTCTGTAAATACCACTGCTTTTCACGTATTGATTCTGTATCCTTCAATCTTATTTTTTATTATTGTACTTTAGATGAAGGTTTACAGAGCAAAATAGTTTCTCGTTAAACAATTAACACACATATTGTTTTGTGACATTGGCTGCCAACCCCATGACATGTCAACACTCTCCCCTTCTCGACCTTGAGTTCCCCATTACCAGCTTTCCTGTCGCCTCCTGCCTTCTCGTCCTTGCCCCTGGGTTGGTGTGCCTATTTAGTCTTATTTTGTTTTATGGGCCTGTCTAATCTTTGGCTGAAGGGTGAACCCCATGACTGACTTCATTACTAGCTAAAAGGGTGTCCAGGGGCCATACTCTCAAGGTTTCTCCAGTGTCTGTCAGACCAGTAAATCATCTGTTTTTTTTTAGAGTTAGAATTTTGTTCTACTGTTTTCTCCAGCTCTGTCCAGGACCCTCTACTGTGATCCTGCAGAGCAGGTAGTGGTGGTAGCCAGGAATCATTTAGTTGTGCTGGACTCAGTCTGGTGGAGGGTATGGTAGTTGTGGTCCATTATTCCTTTGGACTAATCTTTCTCTTGTGTCTTTGGTTTTCTTCATTCTCCCTCACTCCAGATGGGGTGGGATCAGTGGAGTATCTTAGATGGCCACTCACAGGCTTTTAAGACCCCAGATGCTACTCACCAAAGTAGAACGTAGAACATTTTCCTTATAAACTATGTTACGCCAGTGGAGCTAGATGTCCCGAGAGCATGATCCCCAGCCCTCAGCCCAGATTTATTTTTAAAAAATAAAGCAATTTCTCCATAAGATCTCCAATATAAATTTTTTTTTCCATTATAAGATGGAAAATACATTCTCATGGAAAGAAATGCCATAATGGCATGTAGAGAAGCTTTTCTACTGAGGATTCTACCGAGTACATAAAAACTAAAAAGGCAATCTCACTGTCCATTTTTCTTTTGTAGCATTCTAGATAAACAGAATTTATTTCAAGCCTAAGGATTCCTTGACTTCACATTCATGGTTCTAGCAATCCTCTATCCCTCTCCTCTCTCTATTTCTCCCCTCCAAAGCTAGGAAATTCCAATTCTCTGCATCACTTACTCTGCTCTAGCCACAATGACTTCCTCATTGTTCCTAGAATATTCAAGAAGCCTCCTTCCTTGCCACTTTCTGGATTCTTCTGCTTGGAATGCTCATCCTCCACATACCCAATATATGGCTCATTCCATCACTCCTTCAGGTTTTCATTTAAGTGTCACCTTTTCAGTGAAGTTCTCCCTGGCTACCTTATTTAAAATAACACACACTCCCATATTTCCTATTACCCTTCCCTACTTCATTTTTCTCCACAGCCCTTATTACTGTCACTGTCTAACTTATTTTGTCTTGTTTTATTAATTCTTTCTTACTTGTTTATTAATTGTCCCTCCATCAGAATGTAAGCTCCGTGCTTGAAGGGTTTTTGTCTGTTTTATTCACTGCTGTAGCCCAAGCATTTAAAACAGTGCATGATAACATAGTAGGTACTCAATATGTTGAATGAATGAATGATACAGCTGGTTGCAACACTGTATTAACCAGTAGGTGCTGCCAGCAACACTTCATATTCTAGTCTGAAAGATTTCGATTAAGATTAGGTTTAGGTTATTTTTCAAACCGTGCTCTGTGAAACCTGAGTGCTCCCTCAAGAGCCACTGTGATGGTAGAACATGGAAGCTTAAGCAAGCAGAAAAGTCCCTCATTTACCTATTTTACTCATCAGACTTCAGATAAGATTTAATTTGTAGAAAAGATTTGGAGACTTCAAAAAATTTGAAACCACTGGATTGTATATACCAATTTAGCTCCTACCTTTTACATTTTACATGTTTTATTTATTGTAAATGAGGGTAATCTAGGCATGATGTTTATACCGTCCTAGAAATTAACTATTCATTTTCTAATAAAGACATATACAAAGCAGATTAGTTTTTAAAAAAAAAAAAGTCAGTGTAAAAGTGCATTATTTGATGAACAAGAATATGTTCACTAAATGGGAGATTAGTTACAGATTCAAATCCCATTACCAAAAAAAAAAAATCTCTGTAAGCAAAAATATCTCCCCACCCCCACCAAACAGTACTACTTGACAAAACAAACAACATTTTCTTATGAACCTCTTGAAATTTACTGTAATATGACCTGACCAGCATAACTTAAAAAATTACATGTTCCAATAAAGAAAAAGAAGAGCACTCACCTTAATGAAGTTACAGATGGACAAGCTTGTCCATACAAACCCATCTGGCCACAAAGAGAATCTGAAAAGTAAAGAAAACAGTTATCAGATGTCCCAAAATAAATTAAACTATAAATCACACTACAATTCTGATTACAACACTGAAAACAGAAATAAAAGGTTAAAAGATTCACCATTATCTGAACACATATCTAAATGAATCAAAAATGCCATTAAGGGATAACAATGATTACAATGAGAAAGACAAGACATAGTCGGAAGCATAAGAAAAATAAGCACACTGTAACGGTGACATTGAAAGAAGCTGAGACCTCATAAAAATTAACAAATGGTTATGCTTATGGTATAGAGTGTCCAAACTGTTTAGTAGAATCCAAGGGATTCCAGAGAGGTGCCTAAAGGCTAACACAGCTGAGCACGCGAGGTCCCACCCCCACACAACTACCCCTTTTATCAGTTTCATATATTGGAGTTCACTAAGACTTTATCTCAAGAAACATTTCCACTGCTTAAAAAAAAAAAAAAAAACAGTTTGGAACAAAATAATAGAGCTTTGAATAAGGCAGTTCTAGATTCAAATTCTAGCTGCAACACTATGAGACCCTGAAGAATTTATATAACCTCGCTGAACCTCAGTTTCTTCACCTGTAACTTAGAAATCATGTCCCCTATATAACTTTATTAATCAGGAGTAAATTGAAGGTTTATTGTTATAGTTAAATAAATTAAAAAACAAATGTGAAGGTATCTATTGTCACTACTACCTGGCACATGGCAGTGTGTCTATATTTTTATCAGGCGCAAGGATGATCCACAAATGCCTACAGGTAACATAAATGAGAGAAGCTGGAATGCGTATAAGTGTACACATATGCATACACTGTATGACCAGTGAAGACTGTGAGGAACTAAAGAGAGCATGTTCATTCTGAAGGGATCAACTGCCACTCCCAGTTCTAGCCAATAGCTGCTATGCAGGAGTATAAGCCCACTATCATAAGAACTTCTAATTTTCAAAAGAAACCAGAAATCCAAACTTTTATTTGAAATTTCTAGATTTTTATTTTCTAAACACTATGTGGGCCAAACAAAACATTGGATTTTGTCCCTAGTTTACAGCTTTTGATTTAGAGGCTGACTGAATTCCCTGCATCCAACTGTCCCAGCACACACTGAAGAGAAAGACAGACACTTACATTTCTGCCAATATGACAGACTGGATGGCTAGATCAACCTGCTCACAGAAAATAACTAAAATGCTGGATAAAATATTTTTAAATCTTTATAAACGAATCAATAATCTAATAGAAAGTAAGGCATTATCAGTGGCCAAAAACTAAGTAAAAGAGGGAAACCAGATAGAGAAGCAGTGTACTAAAGCCATCTTTCTTTCACCTTCAGGGCATTTTGCCAAACTATGAATCTGAGCTTGCAATTCCAACGCGTCTTGGGGTCTAAGGTACAAGGGGCAAAGTCCTGGCCTTACCCAAGAGACGTGCAAGAAAAACTGTCTCTTAACCTTGTCTCTTAACATCAGTAGTGCTCAGGAGGGGATTGGGGGGTATGACAGCAGTACGTCCCCTGACATTTCACAACCACAAACTCACTCTCAACTTAAAAGATTTATGGTTCGAAAAGCTTCGTATCTAGAGTTTACTGTAGTGTATCCCATTGAACACTGGCCAAAGCAAATGCAAATTCCCCCTTAGGGAACCTATCTCTGAATCGAGGCCTGGAAGAATTCTCACAGATAAGGTTCCAAAATAAATGAATTCAAAACCAAAAATCACAAAACTCAGAAGGAAACAAGTCACCACAAGCAAAAGACCAGAAACATCAGTTGGCTGAATCAAAACCACAAAGACATCAGATATTGGAATTACATACTAGACACCTTTCTCGGTCTTATTTTATGGGTGATTTCTCCTATAGAGTTGCTATCGGAATCAACTCGTTTGGTTTTTTTTCCTATAGATTTTGGACTGCCAGAAGAACCAATCAGTCTTAGAAGAAATACAACCGGAATGTTTCTGGCTTAGTTCCTTCTCAATTTCTCCTCTTAGTTTCTAAGAGGAATGACTTTTCTCTAAACATTCCCGGCCTCTTAGCCTACTCCTCCCCAAAGAGGTGAGTTACTTGTTTAGTGGGTGGAGCTAACCTAACAAAAGACCTGAGCACCAAGGATTTACTCTCTTTCTCTTCCCTCTCCATCTAGGACTCTACAGGCGGTGATCTGAGTGTAACTGCTCTCCTGACCCAAACATCCTCTCTGGTGGGCTGTCCCATGGTCCAGACTGGGCAGGTAGAGATGGGGATGTGTGGAGTTAGAAAGCTCATTTAGCTCTTTAACCTAAGCCACATACTACAATATAAGCTTTATTAAAAAAAACAAAGGTAATTCCTCCAAAAGTTAAAGACAGAATTATCATATGATCCACCAATTTCAATTACACCCCTGGGTGGGTGTGTGGGTGTGTGTGTGTCTGTGTGTCTGTGTGTGTGTGTGTGTGTGTGTCTCCAAGAGAATGGAGAACACATGCTCATACAGAAACCTGTATACAAATATTCATAAGAGCCAAAAAGTAAAAACTCAAATATCCATCAAATAATGAATGGATAAACAAAATGTGGTATATTCATACAACAGAATATTATTCAACCATAAAACATAAAAAGGGAATGAAGTACTGATACATGTTACAACATGGATGAACCTTAGAGAAAATATTATGCTAAGTGAAAAAAGCCAGACACAAAGGTCACATAGTATACGATTCCAGTTATATGAAATGTCCAGAATAGTCAAATCCACAGAGACATAAAGCAGATTAGTGGTTGCCAAGAGATGGGGAAAGGGAGAATGGGGACTAATTGCTAAAAGGTTTCTTTCTGGGGTGATAAAAATGCTCTGGAATTGGATAGTGCTGATGGTTGCACAACCTTGTGAATATACTAAAAACCACTAAATTGTACACTTTAAAATGGTAAAAATATATGGTATGTGAAATATATCTCAATAAAAAACAATTTTTAAAAGGTAATATTTTGTTTCTTCATCTGATGGTTCTTGTTCCTTATCTCTCAGTAGTTCAGACTCACGCAAGGAAAAATGATCCTATATCAAGTCCCCCAAACACCAATACCCTTGTTATTGTTAGATGCCATCGAGTCAGTTCCAACTCGTAGCAACCTTACCTACAACAAAACAAACTACTGCCTGGTCCTGCACCATCCACACAATTGTTGCTATGTTTGAGCCCATTATTGCAGCCACTGTGTCAATTCATCTCAATGAGAGTCTTCTTCTTTTTTACTAACCCTCTACTTTACACCAAGCATGATGTCCTTCTCCAGGGACTGGTCCCTCCTGATAACGTGACCAACGTACATGAGACAAAGGCTCGCCATCCTCACTTTAAGGAGCATTCTGGCTGTACTTCTTTCACAGCAGATTCGTTCGTTCCTCTGGCAGTCGATGGTATACTCAGTATTCTTCCCCAACACCATAATTCAATGGCATCAATTCTTCTTTGGTCTTCCTTATGCACTGTCCAGCTTTCGCATGCATATGAGTCAACTGAAAATGCTATGGCTTGGGTCAGACACACCTTAGTCCTCAAAGTGACATCTTTACTTTTTAATACTTTAAAGATGTCTTTTGCAGCAGATTTGCCTAATGCAGTATGTTGTTTGATTTCCTGACTGCTGCTGCCATGGGCACTGACTGCGGATCCAAGTAAAATGAAATCCTTGACTACTTTAGTATTTTCTCTGTTTATCATGTTGTTGCTTACTGGTCCAGTTGTGAGGATTTTTGTTTTCTTTATGTTGAGGTGTAATCCACATTGAAAGCTGTAGCCTTTGATCTTCATCGGTAAGTGCTTCAAGTCCTCTTTGCTTTCAGCAAGCACCAACCCCCTTAGGACTCCCAATTAGTTATCATTTACTACCAATTCTAGCCCCTAAATATCTTTCTCATCTGCTCTAGCCAATGCCTGAGTTCCAGTTTTCTCCATTTCTCATCTAGATTACTGCCCCAAATGGTGTCTTGAACTCTAGGCTTGCTGACTGAATGAACAAACATATGCCACTCTTCTTCTTCCCTACCCAGGCAACTGATCAGCAACATGGAAATCTCACAAAAGAAGGCCAAGGTTCACAGTGCAGTCAGGAAAATCTCCAAGTGTTTTCCAAATTACAAACTCGCATCTTTGGAGCCTGCTATATTTGGACAATTATATTAACAATTATATTCAATTACGATCATAATTTACATGGTTGAAGTTGGTGCCAACAGCACCTAGTAGCATAGTCTCCAAGTTCTTTGAGAATTGACATGCAACAAGAAAGTTTGTGTTGACACAAACTTCAGAAGATAAACTAGATAATTGGGATTTTCTAAAAATTAAACATGTATGCTCATCAAAAGACTTCACCAAAGAGTAAAAAGAGAACCTACAGACTGGGAAAAAAATTTTGGCTATGACAAATCTGACAAAGGTCTAATCTCTAAAAACAACAGGAAAATCCAACACCTCTACAACAAAAAGACAAATAATCCAACTAAAAAATGGGCAAAGGAAATGAAGAGACACTTTACCAAAGAAGATATTCACTAGCCATTAGAGAAATGCAAATCAAAACCACAATGAGATGCCATCTCACCCCAACATTACTGGCAAGAATCAAAAAAACAGAAAATAACAGATGCTGGAGAGACTGTGGGGAGACTGGAACTCTTATGCACTGCTGGTGGGAATGCAAAATGGTACAACCATTTTGGAAAACATGGCACTTCCTTAAAAAGCTAGAAATAGAAATACCATATGATCCAGCAATTCCACTCCTAGAAATATATCCTAGATAAATAAGAGCTGTCACACAAATAGCCATACGCACACTCATGTTCACTGCAGCATTAGTCACAATAGCAAAAGGATGGAAACAATCTAGATGCCCAACAACAGACGAATGGATGAACAAACTATGCTAGATACACACGACGAAATACTACACAACGATAAAGAACAATGATGAATCTGCAAAGCACCTCACAACATG